GTCAAAAAAAAAAAAAAAATGTGGTGGGAAAATATGGCGTTTAATTTTAAATTATATAAGTCCTATTATGTTTTTGTACATGATATTGGTATGGGCAAGCAAATTGACTGATGCAGGGACAGACATTATGTGAGAGGGGGCGTCCTTTAACAATAATAAGATAAAAAAATTCAAACCATCGTAACGAGCAAAAGAATTTTAACTTTTATTGATAATTTCATTAAGTGCATTTACAATTGTCCTTGATGACTTTTCATATCTTGAAAACTTTGTATGATAGCTTCATTCTCAATGCTAATAGATATATCTTTTTCAATATACACTATCAAACTATCACTCATCCATCCATCTCCCATCTTGTTGCGCAATCAATTCTAGTAGAATCAACGCCAATGTCACAAGCAAATAAACTAGTGAATGCACCTTGTCTCTTTGGGTTTAAACCTTTTTTTTTTTTGCAGGATCACCAACCCTTTTTAATCCTTCAAACTCGCTACTAGAGTGCACATCTGCAATATAATTGTCAAGTTGCTGACCAAAAATTCTTTTGGATAAAATTGAGCAAGGCGGATTAGTTTTTGCTTTTCAAAAGCGAAAAATGAATTATTCAGACACAAGCATGCCACACAAAGCATTTTCAATGCAACTGCACTAATATCCTCGTTATGATTCGCAAGATATCGCAATGTCTCTAGAAAATTCCCTTGGTTGCTTGAATCCTCCGATTCACCGTCACCACGAAATGCAAGCCTTATCGCAAAAGATGTCGAACACAATCAATTGATGCAGTCAATTGAGTTTGATATTCATTTTGCATCTTGTCTGATTGCTCGGAGAAAATTGATTGGATGTGTTGCTTTTGTTTCAACAAAGCTTGACGCATACCCAAAGATTTGTTGTGAGCACTGTTTGGACTTCCAATGTGACTTTGCAGTCTTTCTTTCTTCTTCCAATCTGAAAACCCTTCACTCACGAAGGAATCACCACCCGATTTCTCTCCAATATTTGGTTTAAAGAGATAGCAACATAGAAAATATGTTGCATCTTTAACTATGCCTATATTCCAACCAGGGGAAAAAATTCAATAAACCATGCCGGGTTGAATCGTCGTGAGTTTTTCCCTTAACTCATGGTTTCGAGGTTGGCAAGGACCCTTTGGTGCATACGCTTACAAATTTGATCTTGAACACTAGCATTGTAATATAATATTGGAGCTCGTAGTCCAGGATCTGCAGAAGATCCTCGAGGTTGATCTCTACATCAACATCACTTTGCTTTAAAGAGTCATCAACTCTTCCTACAGAGGGTGGCAACTCTCTTGGGTAATATTTCTCCATTACTGATTCAAAGATGAACTTATATAATTAGCTAATCACATTTTAGGATATTCACGCTATGTTTTCAGTTTCTACAAGCAATAAATTCAACCAGAACTGAAAACACAACATAATTGTGCGCATGTGCATTGTTCACAAGACAACTAACTAATAACTATAAATCTATCACCCACAACAAATAATTGTGCGCCTATGCAGTGTCCATATTCAATATTATTAGAAAAAATAAATCAAATAAAGCAAGTTAGAAGAAGAAGAAGAAGAAAAAAACAAGAATAATCAGAGATGGAATCTTATCAAAAAACAAGAATATATTTTTTTTTTTTACTTATCAAAAAAAAAAGAAAAAAATAGATGGAATAACTAAGACTGTGAGGTTAGGATTTGATTTCAAAGTTTTTCAACGACAACCAGTGTTGTTAAAGGCGCTCCCAGGCTCGCGCCTAGGCTCAGGCTTAGCGCCTGTTGTAATCGCTGGCTTACTGACGTTTATTAGGCGTGCGCCTCGGTTGCACCTCGTCCTGTTTGTGAGGCGCGCCTAGATATTTGTTTAAAAAAATACGATTGTTCTATTTCTTAAGCCAAAAAGGGTACTTTTGGCAACTTAATAAACAAAAAAGAAAGCCCAAGCATACGATAGAAGGAACTTTTGTACAAAAGAATAAAAAAATAAGAAAGCCCAAAGTCAAAGTGTTAACCGAACAGTGATAGAATGAGATTGTGAGATGAAGACGAAGCCTTAGTTGCAGAAGTGAACAATGAAGCCAAGTTAGTTCTTTCTTCTTCTTCTTCTTTTTTTTTTTTTTTTTCCTTTCTCTATTCTCCTATAGATCTCCCCTCTTCTTATCTTTGTTTTCATCTTTCTCTTTGTCTAGTTCTCTTCTCTCTGTGTCTTTTTTTTTTTTTTTGGGCTTTGTTTCTTCTTTTTTTTTTTTATTTATTTTTTTTATTAGCATATAAATTTCTTTTTGTGCTTTGTTTTGCCATTCAAAAAAACACATTTTGCTTTGCCTTTCAAGAAAACAAATTTGTGCTCTGTTTTATGGTTGTTGGATGCTTGTATAGTTGATGGATTTACTTTTTTATATTTGATATTAATCTTTAGAATATTGATATGACTTATGAGATATGAATGTTATTATGGTAGTTTAAATTTTCAATTGTGCGCCTCACTTCACTCAGGCGCGCGCCTCGCTGTGCGCCTCGCGCCTAGGCTCCAAAGGACCTCTAACGCCTTGGTACACCTTGGGCTTTTAATAACACTGACGACAACACTTGTTACTGAATTCCTGATCCCTGGATAACTCCTTGCTGGAAGAGGAATAAAATTATATGATCACAATATGATATAAAATACTAAATAATTAATTTACTTGCAGAAGAAAAAGACTAAATTCCTGAATCATTTAAAAAAAAAAAATCAGTTAGCCAATGAAAAGGGCTAAGATTAAATCCCTTGTAGGGTTTTGAATATTCGAATTGGATGTGGAAATAAGAAATGCAAATAGGAAAAGGGAAGAGAGAACACAGGCATATACATGATTTGGCATTAAGGCCTACATTCATAGAGAAAGAGCCACTAAGGGTTACATTTTTATTATTCAGATCTGTATATTGCTCGAGTACAAGAGCCTATATATAGGCATGGTAAAGATAAGAATATATGGAAGGTGTACAATAGTCACCATGATTGGTGGAGGATTTGCTCCACAATTATATAGAAATATTTGTGTATTTCTACAGAATTTGATCACCAACTACTGTGAAAGAGAGAAAGAAAGAGAGAGAGACGGTGGATGGCCAGACTCGGGTGGGGACTGGTCGGCGATGGCAGAAGCAGAATCACAGCGTTCGATTGGGATGGAAGTGGGAAAATGGGCAAGGCAATAACAGAGAGCGTGAGAGAGTGAGGAACGTGAGCCCTTAACAAGTCCGTACCTGGACTGATGTGATGGCTCAAGAACCAGACATCTCTGATTTGTTTCGCCCCAAGCTTAACTTATGGAAGTTGTTGTAAAGTGATGGCATTCATCAATGGGGTTAGTCTTAACTCAAAATGAGTTGGAATCCTTGGGGATACCCTGGGTTGACCAAAAAATAGAGAAAATGGCATGTTAAGTGTTGACATGCTTTTAATTGGATGTGTTGATGGAGATGTTGTGGGGTTTGGCACGTACGTTAGGGATAAATAATAATTCATAAAGAAGGCCTTATATCCAGTTATTTGGGGTTATCTACAAAAATGCTTCTCTGCTACTCATCCATATCAATGACCATCTTTTTGCAGGGTATCATTCCATTCAGTCTTCTTGGCCTTCCTCTTTTCTTTCTACCACCTTCTTCAATTGGATTGCTTAGTCTCTCTGGTACACACAACGAGCTCTTCATTTTTAGGAAGTTAAGGAAGAAAATTGGACACGTCACGATTCCTATCCCAAATTTTTTGGTTTGAGCAGATTTATCAGGTAGCCACTCCCAGGCCTAACAGCTGTACTTGAGCATATAGCACCCGCTTATACCATAATGTGCAGGCAACACAGACTGGGTACTGGAACAATGAGGCAGATTGCTGTACAAACCACAAGGTGTTTCCTTGTAAGATGAAGTAGCTCGATCTTGAAGACAGCGATTTAAAGATGTTTTCAATCTAAAGATGATAAACCAGGTTCCACCAAAGAAAGTGAGTCTGGCTGCCTCACTTTCTCTTCTTCATCTTCCTTTAATCAGGAACGGAGGGCCGGTCCCCGGGGTTAGTATCACATCTGTCCTACAGAAAGTGTTAAGTAAAGAGAAGAACTTTGCCTTCAACAGATGCACTTCACCTCTGCCGATCCACCACAGGTTGGGTTTGAGAGCCATGTGATGGGTGACTATCAGGCACGGTTTGGGTGCTTATTAATGATATTTGTCTTTCTGATCTACGACCGCCCTTGCTTTGTTTGTCCCATCCCCCTAACCCCTGCTGTATCCTCATACACCCTTGAAAGGAAATATCTATAGAACTCTGTTCCAGTGAATGCAACAGGTTCCGTTTTACCAGTTTCTACGCTAGTTACCATGTCTGCCCAGGTTATCTAAACCAAAGCATTTTTGTTTTTGATAGTGGAAATAGTATTTGCCTTTAATAAAATGGGATACATAGTCATTCAATCACTGCTGCTTGGGCTGAAGCTCGCTATGATTGTTATCAATGCAATTTCTGCCTCCCCGATTGAGTTGCCTTCCAAGTTCTGCTATTGAGTTGGAAGCCGGCGTGGTATATCTACTATACGACCATTAACTAAATATGTCTATGGTTAACTAATTGGCGGGCTCCAGGAATAGTCGATGCCATATCCAATCAACCCACACCTTACACACCCCTTCGCCACCCCAATGCTAAAATAGATGCTTGTATGGTTAAATACACTTGGTTTGTGTTTCTGGGAAAAATAGTGTTACTAGTAAAAGTATTGAATCCCGTTCTACTGTATGTAGACACCTGTACTCATATTTTCTCGGCTGTTCCTTCTCAGGATGCCTTGTTTTACCTCTATTTTACATTTATTTTATTTTATTTTATTTTTCTAGAAATTAGGAGGCAAATTGTTTGTTGTGTTGAGAAAATTTTTTATTTTATTTTTTTCTTTTTCTTTTTCCGCTCAATCATCTTATATTTTTCAGAGACAGCATTAAAGCTTGACAATTTAGTTGGTGGCGTTGAAGATGCAGTATCTTCCACTATGAACAGGAACCTAGTGAAGCGCACTTCTACACAGAATTCGGAAGTGAGCACCTTTTCAATTAATTAAACAAATGATGATGCAATTATTTTCAAACCAACTATTATTTCCTTTTTAATTTCCCTTTCCCTGCAGGAAACTCGTCTGCTTGCTATTAAATCACTCAAATTGACTGAAGATGTTTTAACTTCAGTTACGAAGACTCGCCCTCAGTGGGCACGTCTTGTGTCAGCTGTTGATCACCGAGTAGATCGAGCTTTAGCAATTTTAAGACCCCAGGCAATTGCAGATCATCGGGCCCTTCTTGCTTCTCTTGGATGGCCACCGTCTCTATCCGTTTTGAATTCCTCAAATCTAGATAGTGGGAAATCAGCTGAAGTTTCAAATCCCCTTTTCACAATGCAAGGGGAGCTCAAACACCAGTACTGTGAAAACTTTCTTGCACTGTGCAGCCTGCAGGAGTTGCAGAGTAGAAGAAAATCTCGGCAACTAGAGGGACATAATAGGGAAGTTGCTCTGCATCAGCCGCTTTGGGCTATTGAAGAACTTGTGAATCCTATATCAATTGCATCCCAACGCCATTTCTCAAAGTGGGTTGATAAACCAGAATTCATTTTCGCTCTTGTATATAAGATTACTCGGGATTATGTTGATTCCATGGACGAGTTATTGCAACCACTGGTTGATGAAGCAATGCTATCCGGTTACAGTTGCAGAGAAGAATGGATTTCAGCAATGGTATCCTCCCTATCCATGTACTTGGCTAAGGAGATATTTCCTATATATGTTGGTCAACTGGATGAAGAGAGTGTCACTGGTGTTCAATCACAGGCTGGAATATCTTGGCTCCATCTTGTTGACTTGATGATTGCCTTCGATAAACGAGTCCGGTCTCTTATAGTGCATTCTGGAATCTTGCTTTCCCTTCAGGAAGATGGGAACCTACAGAAGATTTCTTCCTTATCCGTATTCTGTGATCGGCCTGACTGGCTTGATTTGTGGGCAGAAATAGAGCTTAGGGATACAAAAGATAAGTTGAAACCTGTGATGGAGGATGAAAGAAGTTGGTCAGCCAAAATTCAAGGTGCAGTTCTGCTGTCAGGTCCAGAAGATTGTAAATCTCCTGCAATTTCCAGTTCTTTTCTTCGGCGCCTATCATCTGTAATTGATCGTTGTCGGACATTGCCAAGCATTCATTTAAGGTCAAGGTTTGTCAGACTGGCAGGAGCACCTGTTATACAATTTTTTTTGGATTGCTTACTTATCAGGTGCCAAGAAGCTGAGGGGCTAACGGCTCTGACGGATGATGATGCTCTTGTCAAAGTCACAAAATCCATTAACGCTGCTCGTTACTTTGAGTCTGTTTTGAAGGAATGGTGCGAGGATGTCTTCTTTCTAGAGATGGGATTGAACCAGGATGATCAATTGGGAGAAGCAGTTAGTGAGAGTATTTCTATTGGCAAATCGTTGGAAGGACCTGGGATTGGCATTCTTGATGAGGAAATTGGGAAGCTGGAGGATTTCAGAATGGAGTGGGTTGAGAAGTTATCCACTGTCGTTTTGAGGGGATTTGAAGCTCGATGTCGAGATTATTTGAAGAATAGGAAGCAATGGCAGGACAGGATTGAAGATGGAACAATGGTGTCCAAGACTTTCGTTGCGGCGTTGGACTATCTTCAAGGGAAAATGTCAATATTAGAAGAGGGTTTGAATGGGATGGACTTTGTTGTTGTTTGGAGAAATTCAGCAACTGGGGTGGATCATTTAATTTTTAATAGTATTCTTGTGAACAATGTCAAGTTCTATGATGGGGGTGTGGAAAGACTTGGGAATGATTTGGCAGTCTTATTTGGGGTATTCGGGGCTTGGTGTTTGAGGCCTGAAAGTTTCTTCCCCAAATTGAGCGAGGGCTTTAAGTTGTTGAAAATGGAGGAAAAGCAACTTCAAGCTAGTTTGGGTGGAGGAGAGAAATGGTTGAAGGAGAATGGTATAAGGCATCTGAGTGTAGCTGAAGCACAAAAGATTGTTAAAAACAGGGTATATATGAGTTGAATTCTTTTGGGTTGAAGTCATTTTCTTTTCCTATACTCCAACGAGGTCGTAGAACAAACTTAGGGAGGATTAAGGGAGGTTAGATTTGTTTCAGCATGAGGAAGTGCTGTACATTGCTTTGGAGGTCCCAAACTGACTGGTTCCAGCTAGTTTTTTGTTTTTTTTTAAGAAAGAAAAATACAAGTTCGTCTTTGAAATATTCTTTTCGGGTTATTTTGATAAATAAGCACCTTTTGTTGTGGGAGTGCCGGGGGCATCTACTGTTTTCACCACTTTACAGTTTGGATTGACGGTAAGAGCAATCATCCTTTAAAGTTTGGATTTTCTTTGGAGTTTGCTGGTCAATTTGGAGCAGCATCGTGCCTCCTCAAGCCACTTGTTACCTTTTATGGTAAATACAGTTGAATGACCTTTTTGTTTTTTCTCTTCTTGTTGTCAGCAATTAAGTTGATTCCATCTTATTTTACTCAAAATTTAGAATTTATTTTTTTCTCCTTGATGTTGTATCAGGTTATCATTCTTTTATTAAATGATCCCATATTTGTTTTTGCTGGTCTAGGTGATTCTGACGTAAAATATTTTGTTTTGAAACTATTTTTCTTTATAAGGTAAAATATTCTTTTATTTTTACTCTTTTGGTGTTGGCCAAAAGTTTATGTCGAGGTTAAGGTTGAGTCCATCGGGCGGGCCACTTTTAAATAACTTGCCGAAAATTGATGGATAAATTATTTTTGTTAAATTTTAATATTTTTTTACTCCATAAATATTTTACGACAACCAAATCTCAGAAAAAAATATATATATTTTTTTAAAAATATTTTACATCCAAACAAATGGAGCCTAAGTTTAGGACTTAGTGTTGGTACAATCAAGTTGTAATTTTCACTTAAAATTGAGCATATTTAGTGGTTTTGTAATTAAGTTAATTTTGGTGTCACTAAAAAATACGTTTCTCTTGGTCCTTTTATAGTTGAATTCTGTTCTACGTTTGTAGAGACTTTAGGTTTGTTTGTTTGATTTGTTTCTGTTTTTTGTTTTGTTTTGTTTTGTTTTGTTTTTTTGTGTTTTTTTTTTTTTTTTGGCCTTGCTTTTTTCTTTTGCCTGGGATATGTCTTTGCCTGTGCTTGTGGGCAACTCTTTAGCGTTGCCTCATTTGTTTGTACCTTTATTGTATATCTTTTCCGTAAAATCCATTCCATTGAGGGGAAAAAAAAACACACGAAAAAGAAATGGAGTCAATTTTCAAGTGAATGAAACTCCATCATTGAATATGCTCAATCATGATTTGTTTAAACTTTAAAGTTTTCAGTAAAGTGAACAAATTTCTCTTGAAGAAACAAGAAAAAAAAAAAAAATGCAAATTATAATATATAAATATATATACAGAATTGTTCAGGTGTGCTGGAAAATGTATGCACACCTGAAGTATTAACCGTTAGATTCTATTGGGTAATTAAAATGATAATTTATCGTTACATTTAATTGAAGAGTTAAAAAGTTAGTTTACCATTGTATTCTTTTATATCTAACTATTAAGATTTAATTCGTGCATAAATTCTTTGCTCAGAGTAGGTGAAGAGTTTTAATATATATATATATATATATATTCATAAATGTGGTAATTTCCAAAATAAAAAATAAACAGTACAATGGAAAAGGTGGAGGCATACACCTCTTATTAGAAATCAGGAAAAGATGGACCATTTGCAATACACCTTGAAATAAGGAAAAATTGTGAGTATCAAGTTCTTATTTTTTAAAGGGACGGGTTCAAGTTTTAATAGAGGCACGTGCAAGTGAATACCAGCTAAGAAAAAAGAAAAATCAAGATAAAAAAAAAAAAAAAAAAAAAAAAAAAAAAAAAAAAAAATTGAGTGTCAAACTAAGACAAAACGATGCGAAGATGTGGTGCATTATGAGATTTCTTGGTCTCCAAACAGCCCAAATAGATGTAGCAAACAACATAACAAATACCATAGATGGCTCAGCTTTTTGTTCACCATTGCAGCAAAAGAATTGATAGTCCAATTCCAATTGAAAACACACAACAAACCACCTCCACATAGATCTAGCAAAAATGCATTCAAAAACAAGTGATCTATATTATCAATAGCTTGCCTACAATTTTAGTAAATTGGAGTAATCCATCTTTTCTGCAAATTATATGTAAGCTGCCACACAATTTCTTGCTCATTCCTCTATCATTTCCTTTACCACTTTTCTTTGTAAATGTAATCTATCATTTCTTTTCTTTTTTTTTCATTTCCTCTTCTCTATGTCTTTTCTTTCTCATATCAATTTTCTATTTCTATTTATATCGGTTGCATTTTTCTCAGTTTTTGGATTATATTTTCCTCAATAAATTTATAAAGAGTAATATTATAAAAAAATTATATTGCAATTAATTTACAAATTTATCAAATTTCAATTACATACTTCTATTTTTGATTCCCAAAACAAAATTTCTTGCTCTGCCACAGCTTTAACCTATCTGAAAAATATTCCATACCTTTAATTTTAGGTGGTTTTTTTTTTTTTTTTTTTTTTTTTTTTTTTTTTTTTTTTTCACAATATTTTGGCCTATCCCTTTTATCATATTTCTTTCATTCCATCCCACCAAACAAGGGACACACGATATTTTGGCTCATTCCTTTATCATATTTCCTTCATTTCATCCTACCAAACAAGGGACAATTGTATAATATAATTCGTGCCCTTCTTCTTTCTTATATGACTAAATTCAGGGTCTTGTTCTTATAAGAATTTGAATAATGGACCTTCTATTTTGGAATAGAAGGTGAATAAGTACTACTAGAAAATATTCACATTAATTATATTTAAATACTTTTTTAATGTAAGCATTTCTTGGACCGAAATCACAACCACAAACAAGTATTTGGACGTGTTGGTTTACCCATTAATTTCCTAGTGCCCAACTTTTTCTTCAATTTGACCTTTAGTTTCTTTCTTTCTTTAAAGACTCGACACAAGGACGATAATAATATCACTCTTTGGTCGCAGCCGTTTGTTATGGTTTGTTAACTAAAAAACACTTTTAAGCGTCATAATGTCTCTCTTTTTCTAGCGTATCCCATGGGGTCATCTTAATCAAACAAGACTCGGACGTACGTACAGGCCAGTATATATATATATATATATATATATATATATATATATATATGCCGTTGTTACAATGCAGTTAAAGATATATACTGAAGCACTGTGTAGCTCTCTTTCTGTCTCTCTAAAGCGCTCTTTTACCTTCTTGAGAGGGACGATGGAGAGGTTTGGCATTGCCTTGTTGCTATTAGGGCTTCACCTACTGTTTTTGTCATGCACGGTCTGTGGTGCCAAGTTTTCCTCCGATTACACCGATGAATCGGCTCTTCTTACGTTCAAGTCCGCAATCACCTTCGACCCCAACAACGTTTTGGGGAGTAACTGGACTGAAAACACCAACTTTTGCCAATGGGTTGGTGTCTCGTGTAGCCGCCGACACAGGCAGAGAGTCACAGTTTTGCGGCTTCCTGAATTTGGACTCCACGGCACCATCTCCCCTCATGTGGGTAACCTCTCCTTCCTCAAGGTGGTGCATCTTGGTCGTAACAATTTTCGTGGTCAACTTATTCAGGAGATCAGTCATTTGCGTCGCTTGAAGGTACTCATTTTAGATTATAACTACTTAGAAGGGGTGATCCCTGCAAGTATACACCATTGCCGACAGCTTCAAGTCATATCTTTGGTAAGGAATGAATTTAGTGGCAGCATACCGAAGGAATTGAGTACCTTGTCCAGTCTCTGTGTGCTTTTACTAGGCCGAAACAACCTCACAGGTACAATCCCATCTTTCTTTGCTAACATGTCAAGCTTAAAGCGGCTTGGTTTGGAAGAGAACAAGTTTCATGGAAGTATTCCTAATGAGATACGTAATGTTCCAAGTTTGGAAGGGATTAATTTCGGTAGAAATTATCTCACTGGGTCAATTCCTCCATTTTTATTCAACATCTCCTCTTTACAAGCAGTTCGGTTATATTTTAACTACCTTTCCGGAAATCTTGCCTTGAGAAGTACTACTGGGCTTTCTAAACTTGAATTTCTCTTTCTTGGAGAAAATCAACTCAGTGGAAACATCCCTTCCTATCTGTCCAATTTTTCCATGCTCACTGAATTAACGCTATGTAGGAACCAATTCACTGGAACAATACCCACAAGTCTAGGCTACTTGGAATCACTCACAGTACTTCATCTACATGATAACCAGTTAACTGTAGAACCAAGAAGTCATGAACTTTGTTTTCTCACTTCTTTGACAAGCTTGAAATACTTGGAAAGATTAGTTATATGTAATAATCCATTTCACGGCATCTTACCAGATTCTTTTGGAAATCTTTCTAGTTCTCTTCTCAGGTTTCGTGCATCTAATTGCCAACTAATGGGTCGAATTCCTGAGGGAATAGGTTCCTTTACAAACTTGAATTATCTTATCTTGAGTTGCAACAATTTCACCGGATCCATTCCGTCTACAATAGAGGGTATGAAAGAGCTTCAAAGGTTGTACCTTGGTGGTAACAGGCTTGAAGGATCCATTCCAAAGGAGATTTGCAGTTTGCGCAACTTAGGAGATATTAGTCTCCATAACAATAACCTCTCTGGATCAATCCCTGCATGCATCGGAAATGTTAGTGGGTTGCGGACGCTGTCATTGCATTCTAATTCATTGAACTCGTCAATACCATTGAGTTTATGGAGCTTGGATAATATGTGGTTCTTGAATTTGTCATTCAATTCATTAACTACTCTAGATCCCAACATTCGAGCACTGAAATCACTTGTAGCCATAGATTTGTCTTGGAACCAAATCTCAGGTAACATTCCAAGCACTTTGGGAGCCTTTGAAAGTCTAAGTTCTATCAACTTGTCTAAAAATTCATTTTCGGGAACCATACCTGAATCCAAAGGTAACTTGGTAGCACTAGATTTCATGGACCTCTCCCACAACAACCTATCTGGTTCTATACCCAAGTCTCTAGAGGCACTTTCACATCTCAAATATTTGAATCTCTCTTACAATGAGCTATCTGGGGAGATCCCAAGTGAAGGTCCTTTCGAAAATTTTACAACAGAATCTTTTATGAAGAATGAAGCACTTTGTGGGAAACCATTTTTACAGGTTCCGCCATGCTCAGGTTCAAGAACTAAACATTTTCCTTACAAATACGTTCTTCCGGCCATTTTTGCATTAGTGGCAATCTGCATTGCTGTATTGTATACGGTGCTCAAAAAATATAATGGAAACAAAGTACAAGCTCAAAGTTCTGCCTACAATCAGTTAGACGGAATGGAGCATAGGTTGTTTTCATATCAAGAGCTTTGTAATGCTACAAATAACTTCTGTGAAGCCACCCTGATTGGGGTAGGAGGTTTTGGTGCGGTGTACAAAGGAATACTCTCTGACGGAACAAATGTTGCTGTGAAAATTCTGAACTTGCAACTTGA